GGCCCTTTGGTGGGTTTTTTGTGGGGGGGGGGGGGGGGGGGGGGGGGGTTTTCTTGGTTTTCTTCCTTTGGGGTTTTTTTCCCTTTCCCCCCGGGTGTTCTTTTTTGCCCCGGGCCGGTTCCTTGTGGTTGGCCCTTCTTTTCTTTCCGGGGGGGGGTTTTCTGGCTCCGGTTCTTGCGGTGTTCTTTTGCCTTCCCCGGCGGGGGGGGGGGGTTTTGCGGGTTTTTTTTTCCCGGGCCCGGGTTCGGTTTTTTTGGGGGGGGTTGCCCGGGGGGGGGTTTTTCTTCTTTGGTTTTGTTGTGCCAAACGGGGGGGGGGGGGGGGGGGTCGCCGACGCGCCACCCGCCACCAGCGGTGCGTACTTGACAAACCAAACGGGCCATTCGCTACGGCCGTGCGACAAACAGACAACAAGCGGCGGCAGTCTTTCGCCCCTCTATCTCTCGTGTTCGGTCGCCAACTCTCACCCCTTCGGCGCTCATGCAGTGATCCTCCAGCCTCAGCTCCCCCCCGTATCCCGGGACTTCCTCGCCCATACCATCGCCCTCGAACACCCTCTCCAGGACTCGAGTCCAGATACGCTCTTGTTGGAGCTGGGGACAACGAACGGACGGACAGGGAGAGGATTCCTCGTTGAGTTGGTCGCATACGTACGCACGGCTGATTATATTGTACACGGGGCAGCATCGATTTTTCTCGTACGATGCCGGTAGGTGACAGAAGGTATCACACTAATACCATAACTAGATTACCGCTAGGAGACAGAAGATATAAAATTATTTAATACACAACTAGACTTCCGTAGGAGACAGAAAATGCAACACACCCTCTGGATCGATTCTCACAGCTGGACTACTCCAAAGCAGAAAAAGAGTTATATCATCTACAAATGGTGGTGTTGGCACCGCCTCGTCGATAGCTTGCCGAAAACGTACGTTTGAATTATGCGCCCTCCATAATTGAGCTCTGAAATCAGTCCACAGGAGGGGGGTGATGTCTTGTGTCACCTACGGCAACGCATACACACACACATAACTTCTTCTGGTGCTACCGTTTCTGTTCTCAATCAGAAGAGTAACTTTAGCCTCCCCCTATGACGCCCCCCTCACGGGGTCCCAGACCATGGCCTTGAGGATTTTTCAATTGCACTGAGACTGACGAATTTTCGTTGATACGCCGGTTAGCGCGGCCGATGCTACAAGCAAACACACGGGAGATATCTATCGCTGTACGCTGCTCGGGGAACCGAAGAAATGTAAGCTGGTCACCGTCCGGACAACACCATTCATTCTTTGTTAATCTACCACTGACTCTTATCGGTATCTGTGGAAGGAGAGATGGATTTGTCACCGTATACAACACAACGAAATTCATTGCTACTCTACCACGGACTCTTATCTGTTGAAGAAGAGATTAATATTTGCTGTGTTCTACAACATAAATAAATAAAAATAAACATACACACGGACCTTATGCGACGGCGTCCCGGCCTCCTCCATGGTCGGCGACATGACCTTGTTCCACACTCCCCCCCTGAAGTACTCCGGGATACCCGCACGGCACATCTTCGTCAGCTTTCGCCCCGCCACCTGCTGCCACTCCGCCGCGGCCGCGTCATCCTCGTCCGTGAACTCGTGCACCTGGAACGGGTCCAGCTTGAGCTCTGTTTAAACATATATATTTTTTTCGTTTCACGAAAAAGAGGCGAGAGGGACCGGGGCACACACACGGACACAAAAGTTAGTGAACACGTGGAACTGGAGCGAGTCCAGTCTAAGCTCTTTCTTGCGCAAAAATGAGGCGAGAGGGAGAGGTGACCGCTCTCAATGCATCATCATCTACAACAATTTGGCAACGGCCCTATGAACACACCACAAGCCTAGCCAAAACAAACGCTCTCTCTGCGGACGAAAAACAAACTAAACATCTCACCCTGGCCATATCTTGCATGGTCGACAAACTCGCTCGATCTCGGATCGCCCACAAACACCTGCAATGGGGATAAAACGGAGCGCACATGGGACGGGGCGGGGGGAGGAAAGGCATTGGTCAAACAATCACAGGGCAGCAGCAGTATTGATTGTGAAACATCCCGTCGGTGTGGATCGACAGACTGCCAGTTTTTCGTATTTTTCGAACGCTTTCATCACGGTATATCTAAAGGCCAGGCCATTCGCACATCACGTTGCCCGTGCGCCGTACATAGGGACCACCGCAATGTACAGCGGCGGCTAGAGCACGGTCCAGAAATGATCAGACAAGGCCCATTTTTGTAGAACACATTGGCATATGTCCTCGTATGTCGATTTTTATTTGTACTGGCCAATCCCCTCCAACATGATGTTGGCCAATGGGAGTCCTAGTGGGGCGTTTGGAAGATATCCCGGTAAAAAAAACGACGCGTTTTGGAAATGGTACACAGGTTAGGACAGGAAGAGAAGGAGGCACCCCGGAATCTCAATGCCGGTCTATACTCCGCCAATGAGCCCGTGCCCCACGGCTGAGTACAGCGGAAGCAGAACCGACGCTATTTTCAGTCAACCCTAGTTGGGCTGAGCATGCATACGCGGACGCAGACTACGCGAGCAAGGAGGCAGACAGGAGATCTGCGTCTGGTGGGGTGATCGATGATGTGGGGGGATAGGGCGTGTGCCTCCGGACTCTTCGAGGGGCACACAACTGTGTGTGACGCTGGCTACTACAGCAAGGCCGCGTACACGCGTGCCTTGTAGATGAATTCTCTCAAGGAGGTGTATGCGCGGACTTGGTTGCCCGTGCCAACATGTAGGTAATGCTTGAAAAACCTGCCCAACTATCAGAAGACCGCTTCGGACTGGAAAATCGCCCAGAACTAATGTTCCAGAGATAGAAAAAACAAGCCCCCACTTCCCTGGAATGGCCCTGACAGTCCCGCCTTCTTGATGAGAATGACATTCAGATTATTGGAGGCGTTTGTTTCAAAACCATTTCTCGCTCTCGGGAGAAGTTCAGAAGGACGTCAAGTGCGACCAGGCAGAAGGCGCTGGACCCACCCTAGACACAAAACTAACCAATCAAATGGCCACAGGTTCGTCTATATGGCTATATGGCTAGAGGCCCATTCATATGGTCAGAGGCACATCTATATTGCTACTACTCTAAATGGCTGCAGGCCCATCTATATCATCCCAGAGCTACAGGAAGGAGGAGCGTTCACCCTCTGCGGGAGAAGCACCGATTTGACCTGGCTGAGAACACCACAGCTACAGTAGTGCGAGAGAAGCAGCTAGAAATGGCTAAGGGATCGCGGTACACTGCTGCTGCTGCTGCAGCTGGACAGGCAGGCAGGCAGACAGTAGCCACACACAAAACACCGTGTCGCGGCAGCAGTACTTCCACGCTGCTGTCTTTCTTTCGTGGCAAGGCGTCTTTCTTTCGTGGCCCTGGCCTTGTGTGAGGCAACAGGTTGCAAGTTCTCTCTCCTGCCCTCGATCGGGTTTGCCTTACTATCAGCAAAGAAAATACAGGCGCTTTAGAGAGCACCCGGGCGCTTGGGGGGCCTGTCTGATACACAGCATCGACAGTTTCAGATTCGAAGAGTCGGCCATCGGAAAAGAGAAGACAAACAAACACATGCCGATCTCGAGATGGCACCCGGGCGCTGTCTGTTACACAGTATCCAAAGTTTTAGGTTCTCAGAGTCTACCTTCATCGAGATACCAGTTGGGCGATGTCTGCGAACGTGCCCAACAAACCAGCAGTCGCTGCGAGTCCGATAGATCTGAGACTTTCGTGTGTGGTACACTTTGTTACGTTTGTTTTTAAGTTTTTTTCTGTTGAGGCTGAGGGGCAGGGTAGATGGATGGCTACGCTTTGGCCTCCTGCACTTGGAGAGAAAGGCACGCCGGTAGAGTAGTCTCCAACACGCCCGGACGCCTGTTGGAAACCTGGTCTATCGAGCTTACTATGTAGTGACATTATGTACGTTCTTAAGCACGTGCACAGCTACACAGAGCAAGGTTAGTAGTTGCAGCAAAAGAGTGCGAGGACTGATTGCTGTTTGCTCGCGTGCTCTGCGGACTAATTTATCTCAAGTGCTGAACCGAGTAACGCCAGCAACGTGTGTGCCTGCTCGGAGCGTACTAACTCCTGAAGGCATGCGTATGTATGTAGATGATGTCACACACACCGTCCCGGACTACGCGCTATTTGTGTTTTCCACATGAGCGGAACGACGGAAGCTCCTGCTATCATACGTACTCCAGGAGTACTCCAGGAGTAGTTGAATGGACTTGGAGTATTTGGTTATTTTTTCCCCAAACCACGGATGCAAATTACAAATTACCCCGCATCCAAGGGCGTTTGCTTTCCCCGGAAACCGTACAAATGACGTGCACAAAAGCGTTGAGCATCAACCTCCCTGACTCTCCCTCTACCCTGATCGCCGACATGGCTAATGTAGTCAATCGTTCTTCACGGAGAGACCCGAACACTTGTTGAATGCGTAGGTGAAACTTAAACTTTCACCTCTCTCTCCATACGCGAACCGCTCTCAAGAGGGGGGCGGTTGCTGGTCCAGTCGACGTTCTCACCTCAAGCACCGTGACCCCCAGCCCAGACGTCATTGCAGCCGCAGCGGTCTCGGATTGCTTGCTTCGGGGTGGCGCCTCTGTCGCTGGATGCCACGCACGGCCAGGTGCGTGCTGGCTTCGAGCACACCGCGCACAAAGAGGGAGACACAGCAGCAGCAGCAGCAGCAGCAGTCAGCACCACGCCAGAGCAAGCTGCAGGGAGGGGAAAATCGCAGGACAGCAGGAATACCTCCTTGTGCCGGCGGCCGGCTCTTGCTTGCCACACAGCCTGTGGTGTCGCTCGATTATTGCGCTCCTCCGTTGCAAGCGATGATGTGGGTGCCGCCGCCGCCGCCGCCGGCTACACAACCTATTCGGGGCGCCGTGTATCAATACCTTTGGTCGTCCCCCCCTGCCTGCTTCGACGAACATGCACTTGCCACAGCCTTCCTTGTCCTGCCACACAGCTACTCGCCACCTGTAACACCCGCTGCGGTAGCACTACTATGGCGGATCCGGTGAACGGCGCTGCTGTCGGTGATGAGATGGAGGAGGAGCAAGATAACCCTACGGGCGGGGTGACGTACTTGTGCGGAGGTCAGTTCGCCGAACGAGCCACCGCAAACAAGAAACAACTCATTTTTGACCAGGAAAGCAGCAGTATACACCAGCTGGCATATTAGATACGCTTTATCCTCGCGCACTAGAGCGTGTGCTTGGGAAAATAAACTTGTGGCGGCCGTGGGGTTCATTGACACCCTTTCCAGAGCCTCGCGTTTCTGGCAGAGACGTAGGGGCTGGTTTGGTGTCCCCGCCAGCACAATCATCAACTCCGATAAGTCGTACAGCCGTCCCTGCTGCAGCCATATCTCCGGAGATCGGCAACGCGGAGAGAGAGAGCGAGAGACGAGAGATAAGCAAGGAAATAAGCATTCACGGGCCATTATCCTATTTCTGGTGCGTACGTGCGTACAAGTATTGAGCCGCGATTGCTCGATCTTGCGCGTGTCTCGTTGGGGTCCGGTGGTTGTCATCTGGGGCAAGCGAAAACAAACATGTGCCAGGCACCCCTTCCTCCCAGGTCCGCAGCCCGCTGCTTGATAGAGTTCATTACAGCATGACTGTAATTTCCTAATGCTGGACTCGGTGCACATAGTTATTGTTTGTGTTGTTGTCTTCAGATAAAGAAGCCGATCTGATGACCTTCCCCCCAGTTCCTCGTCTTCCGTGAACAACTCCAACTGCAATAAGAAAACCAGCCCCCGTGATGGGTACAGTACTCTGTAGCCATGAAGCCATCCCATCAAGAGTTCTCTATGTGTTGAAGCCAGGTATTACTCCGCAAAAGCCGGCATCTACTCCGAGCATTCAATTCAAGCCGAAAGTGGGGTACGTGCTGTACACACGCACTTCCCAGCAAGCACGTGGTGTTGGGGCCGCCCGGAGTAACGGGAAGCAAGTCACACCCAACATTCCTTATATCTCTGCTCTCTAGGCAATTTTGGCCACCGCCGCCGACTGTGGCAGGGATGGGGGTCTTTAGTGTGTGGGAGAGCTGATGTCGTCGACGAAGGCCTCCATCCTTGACACCTTTCAGTGCCTACCACGAACAACCCGGCCTTGAGGGAGTCCGATCGGTCACGGCTTTTGGCCCTCTTGGTACTCACTCCCTTACCACGTGTAGCGTTATCGACATGAAGAATAAGCTCCCTTTTGGCTCGTAAGTCTCCTGCTCGAGCTGAGGCGTCCACAGTCAGGGAACTACGCAAGATGAGGCATTAAACCTTAGAAACATTTGAAAGAGACTTGCCTTTAAACATGTGCCTGAGTGAAAAAACGATAATCAATGGCAGCACTTAAGGCAGTAGCTGTGGTAGAGCCTGCCGTGGTGCACGGAAACCGCTGAACGGTACGGTGTTTCGCCGCATCCCTCTAGGCCAGAGGCCAAACGTTTAGAGTCTCGGGACAAACAAGTGTGTCGTGCGTGGATATATACGCGAGCTGTTTAGGGAAGCGTCCTATTGAGGATCGCCCAAAGGTTTATCGGAGGTAGCAAGTACCATACGTGATATCGCGCGCGTCAGTATCGTTGTCTTTTGTCAGACGATATAGATGGCGTGGCGATGCCGGAATCTCGGGCTTCTTATGTAGACTCTTGCCTGGGCTCGGTTGGGGGTGCTCTTAGCAAGAGATTTATGGTCAAAATAGGATCCCCCCCCACGAGCACGCTCCGGTTGTCTGCGCTCTTGGTCGCGTTTGTATTTTTCCCCTGCTGAACATATTCTACATCATGTCCCGCAACAACCAATATCGACCAATCACGTGACAGATTGCGGGTCGGACAACCTGATCAAGGCGAAGGACCCGATCCAGTGCCGACAGTGCGGCTACCGCATCATGTACAAGAAGCGAACCAAGCGATGTGAGCAGCGACGAAAGCACGCACGCAAGCACGCGTGCGAGCGAGCACACCGCCGGTGCATGCATAGATTCGTACGCGTGCAGCGGTGACCAGCCCGAGCGGCGGATGCGGAGAAAGAGAGGGAGAGAGAGAAGGGAGAGGGAGCGAGAGAGCGAGAGAGAGACAGCGTTACCTGAACAGTAGCGTAGGGTAAGGGTTAGGGTTGTTGGAGATCGGAGGGAGAGACAGGAGAGGACGATAGGTGGAAGGAAGAGAGCGGCTCTCGCCAGTGCGAGGTGGCGTTTGTCCCATGGTGCAACGTGACAGCGGTAATACGTTTCTTTCTAACCGTCTCCCCCTTCCTCCCGCGACGTTTTTGCCCTTTTTCTCTTCGCCCTCGATGCGACGCAGTAATCCAGTTCGAGGCTCGATGATGATGAGGAGGAGCGGTGAGGAGGAGCGGTTGCAGATATGCGGAAGGGAAAACTCACTCGCGTTGTAAGACGAAAAGAGGGAGGATTGTGGTTCGGCACCTTGTTGGTGTAATTAACGACGAACACAGAGGGAGGGGAGGGGAGGGGAATAGGAGGAGGGACCGCGTCACAGCCACGATCGAGTCTTTTTGGTAGCCGGCGATGCAGGGGGTAATGCCCTAGGCGACGCAGCGCACATGAGGAACACAGGGACACGTTGAAAAGGGGGATTGATTCGACTTGGGCACGATCGCCGCAGAACACCTTTTTTTTCTTGGTTGTCTTCACTTGAACGAAAAAACAAATTGATCCATCTTCACAGACAAGGAAGATTCTGGGATAGATTGGAAATGGATTCATACCGTCAGCGGGAACACTACCTGTGTGTTTCTAATACGATTCCCCCAGCAGCGGACAGCGATATCTCCCCTGTCGCGTAGTTGGAGAAAGCAGGCGATGGCAGAGAGATGGCGCCACACAACGTCACCGGATTTCCCGCATTTACTGCTGTTTGCGGGAAGCATGGGTGTTGTGGCTTTTTAAGCAGAACTTTCGTTCTCTCTGGGCGGCGAAGAGCTTACCGATGTGGGAGCAATATGATGGCGTCATCATCGTGCATTGTAGCCTGTTTTAGTGGGAAGTGTGGCAAGTGCTGCCCCGAAGTGGGACATCACACAGTTCATCAGGAACACCAAAACGTGTCCGAACCACGTGTTATTGCTCCTTATATATTTTGTAATGTCCTTCTCCGGCGCTGCACTTCCTCTTTGAACGCGTTCTCTACAAGGATGCCATGTTGTGGGTGCTTCTGCCCGACGACTTTCGTTGATGTGAGGAACTATTTGGCGTACAGCCCATGCCGTGAACGAAGAGACACAGACATCGGTCTGATTTTCGCGGCAACGGAGTGTTCATCTCGGGTTTCGAGCCCCAGTGTGTTACGTCCGGTGGTGCCGGCGACTCTTATTGCTGATATTGCTCTGTTCATGATACAGCTCTGCGGGGCTCTGGTCTGTCGGACACAGGCAGTGTCCATCACACGAAAGACACGAGCGTATGATAGCAGTGTTTTGCCCTCGCTCAAGGCGGCGTTGAGACCACATGTACTACTTCCAAGCAACAAGAGAAGACAAACGAGAGCTTCCGCTTTCTCAACCACCAGCAACAACGTCGACGTAAAGGGTCGCCTCGAAACAGAGCCACAGGGGAAGTAAAACACCTGCTTTGCTGTGCAACCCCCCCCCCCGCCGCCGCTCCAACCTTACGGACTATTGCCTGTTGCTCGATGGGGTTACAGCCGCAGCAGCGTGGCAGCCCGTGCAACTCTGTCAAGTGTAGCTTCGGAACACGAGAGTTTCTCGGAATATTATGCGCTGGCTGGATATGCTGGTCTAGATGAAAAGGCGCAGCCGCAATCAATTCAAGCTTCGCCCAGAGGACCTCTTTGTACGGGCCCCCCATGTTCCAAGACAAGCCGTGAAGATACGTGTTGCCCTTGCGTGTCTCTCGCCATGATGTAACCCTGTGTCATGTTTTCAACAAAACAAAAATAGCGTAGATTTCTGGTGGATACGGGTTTTTAGCATACACCGTTGATGAAGCTTGAGCTTTTACACGCCCCCCCCCGGTTGTTGAAAAAACAAACATGGGCAAGCCGGTTCACCATCGGCGCCACTTGTGCGTGGCAACGGCTACGAGACAGCCGTCAACCGCGTGCGGAATCGCAAGCGCAGCGCTCACCTCCCACGCCAAGAGAGTAGCATATATACCCCACAACCACACGGTGCCCCCTTTCGATATCAGTTGACAGACAACTCATGTTGAGAGTCCCAAGTCTAAAGGCGGGCAACAAACGAGCCAATACCTCCCGACCCTTCCCCTATCCGTCCTACAGCAGCACAGCACCACCCGTTCTATTGTACAGATGGTACCAAAATCAGCCCCGTTCTCCGCCCGGTCGCCTGCTACTGCTACAACAAGCGATTCCGAAGGACAACCAACAGCAAGAGAAAACAACCGGCGGTGCAAATGATTCCCACGCCAACACCAACGCCAAACAGGAAGACTAGCATCTCGTCCTATCTAGCAGGAGCAGGGATATGCCTTCGTGGATGTGCTGGGCAGGGGTCAAGACAGCTCCAAAATGCTGCTGTGGACAGCAGCAACAGCACCCCCAAATCCAGCAGGCTTCACGACGTGAAATGGCCGTGTCTAGAGAGACGCACAAATACAGGGCGCAAACGAGTTGCGGAACATGTCGTATCCTCAATCCTCCTCTCCGACGCCGCAGCCATCATGCTTCCAGCTCCGCCGCGCCCTCGATAGCCAAGACCGAAATTTCCCGGTCTTCCGGCTTCATGAGGAGCTCCGAGAACGCGTTCAGGTGTGGTACTCCCCGTACCTGTGGTCCACATCGAGGGAAAGCGGGAGGGGGGGGTCAGCCGCTGGGAGGATGTGTCCTAGCATGTCACTCCTCAGAGCACACCTGCGAAACTAAGCAGGAAGGAACGCCGAATCAAGCCATGTCCAACCGCGCCAGCTCTTCACTCTTACATTCCAAAGCTCTTCACTCTTGCACACCAAAGCTCTTCACTCTTACACTCCAAAGCTCTTCACTCTTACACTCCAAAGCTTCACTCTTGCACTCCAAAGCTTCACTCTTGCACTCCAAAGCTTCACTCTTACACTCCAAAGATTCACTCTTACATTCCAAAGCTTCACTCTTGCATTCCAAAGCTCCACTCTTACCCTCCAAAGCTTCACTCTTACATTCCAAATCTTCACTCTTACATTTCAAAGCTTCACTCTTACACTCCAAAGCTTCACTCTTACAGTTCAAGCTCCATTCTTACACTCCAAAGCTTCACTCCTAACACTCCAAAGCTTCACTCTTACCCTCCAAGCTTCACTCTTACACTCCAAAGACACCGCTCTTGCCGCAAATCGATACATATGCGGAACGAAAACATACCCAATTACAATCACAAAAAAGGGACAGGCTGAACAAGAAGCACCACGCGACGCGCGTGCATCTAGCACGCACCCACAGCAGTCTGCACGCACACGAGACTGCTATCGGCGAGCCGACTGCTGCGCTCATCGGCCGGCCGCGAGGACGGGCCACGACGTCCTTTGCATCTACAGCAGTACATGGACGCACCTCGTGGTCCAACAACGGCATCAGCACGACGTGGAAGTCCTCGTACAAGTCGTAAATCTGTCCAATGTACTTGTCCTGTGGGGGCACACGCGGGGTCCCAGCAGATGGGGCAGGGGGTAACACCGACAACAGGGCGAGGGGGGGGTGATCAACGCGTCCAGTGGCAAAAAAGAAGGGTTCATTCCGAGGCTGACGTCATCTCACGCATATTCCAACCCACTGGCTTCGCGACGATGAACAACTCTTGCACTGTTCGGACCGGACACAGCAGTTTGTTACACTGCTTGTCTTGTTTGACGACGACGACTGCGTGACGAAATGCGCAGTGTCTTTCCAAAGTGTAGGTTGAAAACCATCCCTCATATCTGTGCCGTGACAAAATACAATATAGCCGCGGGAAAGAAGAGACAGCGAGCTCACTGCAAATAAAAAAGACGGATATAAAGGACGTAGAACTAGTCTACAGCAGCGTTTGGTGTGTATTGCCAGGTGCCTTCATGCATGAGCACATGCTGCGTTTCGGCCTGAAGCTAGAGCCCGCACGCCGGTGCCGGAGGAGAGAGACAGATATCAGGATCTTACGCCTGCAAGACATCCATTGCCCGCACAACGCCCAGAACGGGAACGCGAAACGGGGGGACAGAATGCATCGCACACCCCGGACAGAGCACTAATTCTTTAATCCCCATGCATGGTATCCCGCTATTCAAGTGGTGAAATCAGGCTGGACCTGGAAATAAATTTACTTCCATTCGGATATAAAATTATGCATATATACTGCTGTAGTACGCTCCTCAAACCCAACATATAAACAACGCTGTAATAGAATCACACAAACACTTGTTAATTTTGTTGTGCAATTCATGCTACTGCTGTATAATGCTCGCACACAACCGTCCTACAACAAAATATCTGGGCTGTCAACGATAGATCAACACACAGAAAGTCCCGCAGCAGACGAAAAGTCGTGTTGGGTAGATCCCACAACACCGTATTGAGACAAAAGGTGAAAGAAGGCCATGCCAGGTGCTTGCTCTGCAAAGGGAAGCGTTGTCATGGCGTGTGGGCGGCGGTAGCAGACGATGAGCGATGCATGATCACTGGCCAGCGACAAAAAATGTTGGTGTTTGAATCTTTCATCTAATGGCCAACAGCACCCGTGTCGTTCTCGCAGAACAAGACGGCAGCAGTGACGACGGTCCCAACCGAATGTGGTGCAGGAGGACCGGGCTACTGAAACACGATTCCCTACGACTGCGGTCGTAACTCCCCGTGCTTTTTCCGTCGTCGTACACGGGATTCCGCGCGTGTCCGCCGCAGATTCGCCGCATTTCCGCCTTTTCCTTCGAAACATTGCTATATATCTCCGCTTTTCCGCCAAGTTTCTCCGCTTCCCCGCCAAGACACTCCGTTGACGGCAATCACGTTCTTCAACTCTCCTTGTGGTCGCTGCCAAATACATACGGAGTAGGCGAATCTGCACCTCCCCACGACGATACTACCCCTTGCATGACCACCACAACTTTGCCGAACTTTTATTAGGTCCCAGAAAGAGACTGCCCGTTTGACAGAAATACCCCTTATTCGAAGGGATGTGGGACCACGTGTCTAGATCCCCAGAAAAGACGATTCGTTCGAGATAAAACACCCCGTTCACAAGGGGCGAGTTGATCCAAGTCTTTGCTAGCACTGGTGTGTAGGAAACTGGCTGGATGCTGGACTCATTTTGAGTCTGCTTAAGCTTGTATATACGCTGAAGGTAAAGGTATCAGTCATGCCGGCCGGTACAAAACAGTTTCGTCCAGGCCTGATTTGCTCTCTGTGCTTTTCGTCAAAAGTCACCAGAGAGCCGTTTTTTCGTTTTTCTGCGGTCGTATTTCGCCATCTCCGCCGCCGCAGCAGTAGTACTGATCGTCACTGATTTTTTGTTTCCCCGAAATCTTCACCTCTCGACAAAAAGTACCGGTATATAGAATGCCGCGGGCACACCTCCTCTTTGACACGGTCGCCTTCCCCCTATGCGTTGCATGGAACGTCTGCAACAGCAGAGACAAGAAGCTTTGGCTCCGTCTTGCTTCCGACCTTGCGAACCAAACACCCGAAACCTCGAACCTGCGCCTTTAAAAAAGGCAGACCTTCCGTGTTCCCCTTGTCCGTCCGCTTCTCGTCGGCAGTTATCTTACAACAATTCAATGACATATCACCAACAAGTGTCCGGTCTTCCGCCTGCTGTAACATATGGCCCGCCTCTTCTACCATCGCCCCCGCATTTCAACCTCTCGAACGGCAAACGACCAGCCGCTTCGGCAAACATGTTTGCGATTTGTTTTGTTTTTTCTCAAATTCTTCGAAGTACGTATGCATAATAAAACACAAGGAATCCATCTCTATCCACATATGAGAGTCAAGCAAAATCAATCAGCGCCGTTTCATACACAGCGATTTTTGCTTCCAAATTTCAAAATTTCAACATTCCGACTTTCCCAATTTCCAATGTCTCCCAAGAAAGTTGAACTCGCTCCATTTTTTTTTGTGCCAGTGGTATCCAAATATTCCACATTTCAAAAAAATTTTCCCTCGGCCACAAATCGAAGTTCAAATCAAAGTTCAACGGTCTATGCCCTTAGTAATGACTCCATAGCCTTAGCGAAGGCACACCATCTGGGTCTGTATCATTCGATTTTTTTCCTGCCTCCCTTGTTCACCGCACGTTTTGTTGTTGCCCGCGGGTCATTTCCGCCAAGCGGTCACTTCTCTCCACCTCTTCCATATGTCTTCCCGGCAACAAACGCACGGTACAGTCGTGTTCTTGAATTTCATTTGCAAAGACCTTCTCGCAACTGCAGGACGTAAGGGTTCGCGCAGTCACTTCTCTCCACCTCTTCCATATGTCTTCCCGCCAACAAACGTACGGCACAGTCGTGTTCTTGAATTTCATTTGTAAATACCTTCTCACAACTGCAGGACGTAAGGGTTCGCGCAGTCACTTCTCTCCACCTCTTCCATATGTCTTCCCGCCAACAAACGTACGGTACAGCCGTGTTCTTGAATTTCATTTGCGAAGACCTTCTCGCAACTGCAGGACGTAAGGGTTCGCGCAGTCACTTCTCTCCACCTCTTCCATATGTCTTCCCGCCAACAAACGTACGGTACAGCCGTGTTCTTGAATTTCATTTGTAAAGACCTTCTCACAACTGCAGGACGTAAGGGTGTGGGTGCGCGAGCCTTGTTGGCGGAAAGAGCCAGCGCCCCGACAATCGAGCGCTTCTCCTCGTTCTAGCATCATATCGTCCTAAGGGGTTGCCACTTAGAACAGCTTATTTTTCACGAGTTCAAAGGCATTCTTGTGGTGGTATTCCCGAAATACATATCCAACTCTCTGCTGCGTGTCACGTACGGTAACACTTGGTGTGGATAATTCTCATCAAATGGTCAAAGAGTTTCCCCCCCCTTGCCCATGTTTTTCATGATCTCAATTCAGCTTGTTATCGTATTGGAATTCATGTTTAGTGTAGGGTGTCCCGTTGGGGATACCAAGTGAGTCATATCTTGAGCGGTGTACCATCGACGTGTGGTGTAATAGGTGCAGACGTTCACATGGGAACACGCTTGCAACCCGCCACCGTACCTGTAGTGGAAACCCTGGGACACAGCCTACGTTCGAAAAGATTTCGGATACAAAGAAGTCGGACTACAGTACATTACAATACGCGACACAGGGAGTGGGGTGTGTCGATCCACTTGAAGGCACGGACTTTTGAGCGAGAGGGTGGACCAATACCTGGTCAAGCACAGGAGGGTAACAAGTGTTGTCGAGAAATCGCAATAGCTCCGAGGTCCCCGATGCGAGCACAGGGATCGCGCGAGCTTGGCGCGGGGTTCCACAACAAGGGGAACAAGGCGATCAACCTTAAGCCAACACAGACGACCAACTACCACTCCAGAACCTCTTACATGTTTCGTGAGCAGTGCCGTGGGCATTCTTGCGCAGGCATCGCAACAAAGTGTGCTCGAAATTTTCAACCTCGACAAGAAATTTCGAGCATGACGAGCTTGATTCACAGCTTTCGATGCAGAGAAACGACCGCCGATATCATCATGCACGGTGGCAGAGCTGTTTCGTGCCCCCATTTTTCGATACAGAGTAACAAGCTGTTTTGTGCCCTCCGTAACAGTTTTTTGTGTTAAAACGACAACAGCGACAACTACTGTACTACAACGTGCGAATGTAAACGCCTTTTTTTGTATCGGTACGCTAGTTTTTGCCGTCGCGAGGCAGCTGTGCAGATGATGGCATGTTACCCTCCATCCGTCCGATCACAACCTACCTGCATACCGTCTTGCAGGCAATGCTCGTGTGCGTACCTGCATGCGTTTACGCGCCAACGTCTTGCAGATGATGCTCTTCGCCTCCGTGCTCAGAGTCCCCTCCTCCGTGCCGTACCACTTCTGCAGGTCTCCGATGTCTTTTGTCGGGAAGAGAACCTTTTACGATAATAATAGGGGATAAAAAAGCAACAGAGATTTATTTTTACATATCAATTGGTACTCCGGCCTTCGAAATACAAGAACACGCCATCATCTGCACAGCTGCTTCGCGACGGCAAAAACTAGCGTACCGATACAAAAAAAGGCGTTTGCATTCGCACGTTGTTGTTGTAGTTGTTGTTGTTGTTGTCGTTTTCACAAAAAAAAAAGCTCTTCCGTTCTCTTGGCTCAGTACCTTCTAACCTACGTACCGGTCCAGTCTTTGTTGTCATTCGTGTTTTACAGGCCAGGCCAGCTACGCAAAACGGGCACATACACGCCTCACGTGAAAAATCAACAAAAATAAAGCCCAACGACGAACGAATGGCAATAATCAGCATACAGGCGGTTATCAACTAATAAATTTACCTGGTTCACGACGATGTTGTGGGTGTCGATCTCGAACTTGGTGAGCTCCTGCACCAGCCTCTCGGTCTCGTAGAGAGACAGGAACTCGGGGATGCAGACGCACACGAAGGTCGTCTTGTCCGGGTCCTTGAACTGGTCGTTCACCTTGTTGATGATCTCCTTCAGCTGCAGCAGCTTCCCGAACATGTCGTCCTCCGTCGCCTGGACACGGGGTGGGGAAGAATAGAACAGAATGAACAGGGTGCGGCAATACAAGGAACATTCTAAAACACCACTTACTTTGGGCGGGGCCGGAAGGGAGGGAGAACACCGACCTACAGAACACTAAGCACTGCAAAAAAAAAAAAACGGTGTGCATGTGCCAGAAGCGAACACAACCAATTTGGGCCGTCGTGCTGAACCGGGCAAGTATATGAACGATGAACGACAAAAGGAAAAAACACAAGCACACGAAAATGGGGGTGTTTGATTTAATTAGTTGGTTTTGGGTTTGGGGAGTACATATGGTAACGCTTAGATCCAAATCAGGAGATGACGCTCGTTCCCAGCAAGTCCAATGCACACCCCACATCTGCATTGCCACGGCCTGACTCAAGAGGGACACAGCAACGACTTGCCTCTCTACTTAGTCGACAGCGGTTTTCTTTTCCCCGTGGGTAGCCAGACAGTAAATATGCTGGCTTGTGCCGTCTCCGTTTAGTCAAAAATCCTTGCACCCTCGGCAAAAAAAGAAAGAACCGATCGGCTCTTACTTCCACCCCGCTGGTGCTCCAAACCTGATTTCTGGAGTCTCGCCTGAGGGCCGGCAACGCAGGGTCCTGCACGACAACGACAACGCCTCCCCGCCCCCCCCCGAACCCTTTGGCAAAATAGGAACGGAAACCTGGTTATCGGTAATCGGTCCTCTGGAGGACAATGCTCCGTCCCCTCGAGGACGCGTCGTTAACGGTCCAACAAACAAAGGCATGCAAAAACACACGAGTACGACCCCCCCCTTTACCGACAACACCACTCACCCCGCCCGCTCCGAACATGTTCCCGAACTGCGAAAAGAGGCCGGAGAACTTGTTCTTGAGGTCCATCAGCTTCGACAGCGCCTTGTCCATGATGGTCGGGAAGGAGAGCAGCCGGAGGGTGTGTCCCGTGGGCGCCGTGTCGAAGACGATGCAGCTGAAGTTCATGA